GGAAGCTTTCAGATTCGGGTTTTCCCAGATGTGCCAACATGACTCTCTTAATAAATTGGAACTTTGAGCAATACTTTTCCTTGGACTCTGATTTATTTGGAACCCTGACAGTGGGCTGAGATGGTCAGCCAGTTCCAGACCATGATGCAGTCCCATTGAAATGAGGCACTCTGGTTCTTCACCACCAGCGGCACTTCCCTCCAGCCTTCGCCCAAAATCCTGCACCAAGAAGCTGAAGCAGACCCCAAGTCAGAATTTCTCCCCGGAAGGGGGAGAGTTTCTGCAACAACACAAACATTACTTGCACATACCTGGCTGTTGTTTGAGGATCCCTGATTTAGTGCAATATAAAAAGTGCAAATAATTTTTCTGCAGACCACCAAAATTTTCTCACGGACCACCAATTAGTGACCTCTCTTCTAAAGGAATATCTAAATACTTTTGAGTCAGGTTTCAGTGCACAACTGTTCCTGTTAATGCTCTCAGCAACCTTTGACCTAATTAGTCATGATGTCCTTGTAGATCTGTTGAAAAAGAGCTAGCCAGGCAGGAAGGAGAGTAAAGTGGGATTTTAGTCTTAAATCATTGTGCAGTGCAAGAGATTCGAGACTGGCCCCACCCCCTCATCTCCATGGAATTTTATCTATCTGTTCCCAAGGGAAGGCACAGCCTAGGGATATTCCTGTATGAAACAGGCAGAATACATAAAGTAGTTAGTTTGAACTCTAGATATGTGGATTCGGTTGCTTGAATCTGACAGGATCACCCCAAAAGGTTAGGATTTACTGTGGTATTTTGAGTTGGGGGGGGGAGAAGAGATCACCTGGTGATCACTATCAGAAATTGTTGAGAGGTTCAGTCACACCTTCCCTCCTGATTAATATTTAAATGAAATAGGAGAAGTCATTCACTGTTTGGGGAAATTTGCTGATGATACTCAGCTATCTGTGCAGTAGATGCCATTAATATTTTCATCCTGTGCTTGGAGGTTGTTAGAATCTGGATGGGACAAAGCAGATTGAAACTGATTGTACCTCAAGGTTAGCTGATGACTCAAATGGGGTGGCACTGCCCCTCAGAAAGCTGATCTATGACAAGTCATTGTGGACTTCTTACTACTGCATGGGCAAGAGGATGTGCATCTTGGAAGATTTGCTGGACCATGAGTCTTAATCAGACTATTTATTTATTTGTTTCCTGCCTTTTTTATTTTTACAAATACCTCAAGGCAGTAAACATAACTAATAATCTCTCCTATTTCCCTCACAACAACAACCCCATGAGGTAAGTTTGTCTGAGAGTGTGTGAATTGCCCAAGGCAGGGATCGGCAAACTTAAACACTCGAAGAATCATTTGGACCCGTTTCCCACAGAAAAGAAAACACTGGGAGCCACAAAGGTCCTAACCCGAAGCCCCCTGTTCAATTCCGGAGCTGACTGGAAGTTCCGTTCCCCCACCATAGAGTCTCCTCCTAGCGCAACATACTTTTTCCTCTACCTGTCATAACCGAAAGCCCTATCAATTGTGGAGAC